TAAAGTTTCCCTAAATTAAGAACTTGAAAAAACAATTAGAAATTTCTTAAAGAAGCTTGAAAAAATTATTAAATTTTAATGAAAGCACCCAGAGGGCTCTAAGTGATGGTTGCAAAGAGAGAAATGTAGTAAATTCAAAGAAAGTGAGGAAAGCCAGATGACTGATTCACCATGAGTGTGTACATGCGTCTGTTTTTCCTGTACTTATAACTGTAAAATTTGCAAACATATTTACCATCTCCAATCCAGGTCACCCTGTGGCCAAAGCCACATGTTTGTAAAATATTTTGCTATCATAATGTCTTTTCGGAGTCCCTAAAAACAGCCTCACTCTCTCATATCAATCCCTGAAATCTTTGTGCCTGTCACAGACTCAAAAATCTGTCTCTAATCCCTCATTTAACCCTTAGACCTACTCTTGTTAGCTGGATTATTATTTATTCGGGCCATATTATTTATTTACAGCCTTAATTTACATCATGGATATGCCACCGAGCCTGAAAAATGTTCTTCTTGGAGGTGGCCTAATGTAGCAATTAAGTTTAAGTGTCAGCATCCTAATTGTATGACTTTGAGGGAATTTACTTACCTTATTCCATGCTATAGTTTCTTCAACTGCCAACTCAAGGTAACACCAGAACTCATGCATACGCTTGTTAGGTGGTATGGTATATCTGATATAAAAAGTGTTCAATAAATGTTAGCTAGGGTGATCTAAGTTCCGTTTTGTAATTTAAGTTCTTCCATCAAAACCTAGCAGACCAGCCAGCAGGATTCTAGAAACCATTCGTACCAAGCTCTAAGGGGATTTGATGGTTAAGCTATACAGTGGTTGAAGAAATGTTTCTCAGAAGGAGCAAGAAACAGAATGCTTCTCAAAAAAATTGACTTTTGAGTGTATATCTTTCTGTGTTAAATTACTAAAAGTTATGTCAGTCTTTTTACATAATAGCCATACTGAAGAGTGAGATAATATCAATAACCGTTTAGTAACACAAGGCCACATTTTTTAAATTCATTTTTCATGTAAAAGAGTTATTCACGCTTTTTGATAATCGAAGAAATAGAGGATTGTTACACTCTGAAGGGGTGAATGTTTTGTGATGATGTCCAAAAAAAGCACTTACTGGACTGGTCTCCAGATTTGAGTTCTAGGCTGACCTGGACAAGCTACTTAACCTTTCTTTCTGAGTTCTCTCATCTATAGACCAGAGACAGTTGTAGACTCACAGAGACACAGGGTAATTGAACAAATAAGTGTGAGAATTTTATAGGACAGAATATGTTATGTGTCAATGTAAGTATTATTTATAGTATCTGAATGATTTTTCAGCATCTTTACGTAATAATTCTACAATGGTGTTTTAGAGCAAGAGAAGGAAAATGTGGGTGTATCTAGGTTTCCTAAAAAAGCTGATTAGAAGGAACATTATGTTTTGAGTCTGAAAGTCTAAATTTGCCTTCCATGTTGTTGCTATCTAGCTTACTTGTGATTTGGAGCAAGCCACATTGAATCTCAGGTTGTTTCCCACCTGCAGTATAGGTTGATAACATATGCTTTCACCAACTGCAAAGAGATATGAGGATGTATTTAATAGTACTACATACACTGTGAATTCACAGTCATTCATTTACTCATTCATTTAACAAATACTTATTGAGCGCCTACTCTGTCCCAGACACAGTGCCATGCACTGGGGCAGAGCCTTGCCCTAATGGGAGTCATAGTGAGTGGGAAAATTCACACAACAAACTAATCTATAGGTAACACAATGATGAGTCCTGCAAAGCAAATGCCAAGATAATATAACAAGGAGCCCTAATTCTGACCAAAGGTTGAGAAAGGCATCCCTGAGCAAATTGTATTTAACCTTTTTCCCATTTGTGGGGAGGCGGGGGAAAGTGCAGCTCGCTGCCAGAATTAATTTAACATCATGCATAAGAATGTTACGTTTTCTAGGATTTGACATTTTTAGCAATCGAGAATTACTATATTTTGTAAATGGAAATACCACTTCTAAAAACAGAATGCTATAAATAGAATGATGTCATTTGTTTCCAAAGACTATTGCTATACTAGAGCCATGCGAAAATTATGAAAGCAAGATATTCCATGGCAAACTTTGGGGGAAATCCATAAATTATCTCAGGGTAAATGCTGTAGCTGGATGCGCTGCCAGCGAGTATTCTCAGGGCGAATGGGAAATTAGTTAAACTAAGATCTGGAGGACAATAAAGTGTCAGTCAGGCAAGAGGAGAAGAGAATAGGAGGCTTTTCAAGCAGAGAGCCTAGCTGGAATATGCAAAGACTGGAAGCAGAAAATAACTCAGTAACAAGAGAGCTGGAACATAGTAAGGGGCCAAAATTGAAGTTGGAGAAATGACAAGTCCTGTAAACCATGTTATATATTTTGGATTTGTCGTAGGTGTAGTTGAAAGTTGTTGAGAAGTATTAAGGAAAAAAAGGGGAAGATTGAATTTGCTTTTTTAAGAGGTCAGCCTGGAAAAAGGACAACAACCATATGATTTCACTCATCTGTAGGATATAAAACAGAAAGCAACAAATAAACAAACAAAAACTCATTGAAACAGACAACAGTGTGCTGGTTACCAGAAGAAAAGGTGGTGGTGGGTCAAATATATGGTGACAGAAGGAAACTAAATTTTGAGTGGTGAGCACACAGTGCAATATACAGATGATGTATTATAAAATTGTATACCTGAAACTTATATAATGTTACTAACCAATATCACCCCAATAAAATCAATAAAAATATAAATCAATCAATCGATCGATCTGGCTGCTGTATGGAGAATTAATGGAGAGGGACACAGAAGATAAAGAGTATCCAAGTAGGCAGCTATTGTTATAGCAGGACAGCAGAGACATTATGGTGGCTTAAATAGAGCAATACAGAGAATATAGATCCAAAGTGTATTTTGGAAGAGAATTAATCAGACTTTGTAGTGTTCTGGAAGCACAGCATGGAGAAGAAGGAGGTATCAAGAGTAATTTCCAGGTGTCTTGCTTGAACAGATGTCAAATAACGGAGCCATTACTGACCTGACAAAGTTTGTAGGAGAAGCAGGCTTAGCAGGGGAGAGGATCAGGGCTTAAGTTTTGGATACGTTAACGCTGGGATGTCTATTAGATACCCAAGTACTTGTGACAAAAGTCAGCAGGA